TCAAGAGTCAGGTGCTTAACTGACTGAGCCACCCAGGGGCCCCTTGACACTCTTAAATCGAGAACCAGTTCCTTGGTTTTGAAAGAAAAGTGTTTAATTATAGTAAGAAGTAAAAAGGAAAGTGAGCAGTATGTGAGACTCACTGAAGACGATGCTTCAAGCACAATGAAGATACCAACTTCCAACTCTACAAATGTCAAATTCTCATCTTCAGAATCATGACAAAAATTTAGCTCAACACTTCAGAAGACCCCTCCCTGACCTCCACAATTCAAAACCAAGGAAAGGAAGTGGCGGGTCCTGAAGACGGGTCCAGATTGAGGAGAGGGACATCCTTACCTACGGACCCCAGGTCACTACGATTCTCCCACATCACATTCTTACAGAAACTCTTCTGAGCTGGGTCCAGCTGCTGGGAGAAGTCTACGGCCATGTTCGTGATGGTCACCAAGCCCTGAAACGGTACAAACACACTTTCGGATCAAACGGGCTCACAAGCCGGCAGTGGCTCTGGGAAGGTGTGTGACAGAGGCTGCCCGTGCCAAGAATTCTCACTCAGGTCCTGAGTGCTCCGGGTCACATAATGACTGGGCCCGGTCATACCGTACACGTTTGGGGGAAAAAGACAAAAATAGGAGAATCTGTTTCTGCCATGGGTGATCTATAATCCTGCAGAGGAGGACGAATTTACACACAGTATGAATTTCCCAAGGCTGACTGAAGGTCTCCCCACCTTCAACATGCCCGACTCGACAAGCCTGCAGGTTTTTTCTCCCACATAATCTCTGATGACAAGGGAAGGCGGAGATCCTGCTCCAAGTTTTCTCACGTCATGGCATGTTGAATGTTTCTGATTGAGACACGCTGGTGTGTGGCTCATGACAACTGAACCGCCCCCCTCTTCTGCTGCGCATCGAGACCGCGTGCTGTTCCTTCTGGCCAGATCCTCTGTCTACAGGAAGCACCCTATTCAAATGGAAACTTCTCCCGAACTTACTGGACTCGTGGTCTCTCCCTCAAGAAGGGTCTCTTTAGGAAGGCCACTGTGTCTTAGCTCAGTGGTTGATCTCCTGACTTACCGGCGGCCTCTCAAGCAGAGCACCATAATCCAAGTCTTCCCCTAATATGGAGCATTCCAGACTGTGGTTTGTGAGTCTCTCCATGATCACCACCTGGGACAACTTTTCTTTACAGATGTCCTTCTTCGCGGCTAATTCCTTGGTCTCTGGCCCTGCCTCCAAATCTGAAAGGCATTAAGAAACCGAACCTTTCTCCATTATGTAGTAGAACGAAGAAAAATTCCAAAACGTAATCAGAGGAATTAAGATCCTCAAAATAACATGATGTATTGAAAACTTTCTTTTTTCTTTTTTTAATTTTTTTTTTTAACGTTTCTTTACTTTTGAGAGAGACAGAGACAGAATGCGACTGGGCTAGGGGCAGAGAGAGGGAGACACAGAATCTGAAACAGGCTCCAGGCTCCGAGCTGTCAGCACAGAGCCCGACGCGGGGCTCGAACCCACGAGCAGTGAGATCATGACCTGAACTGAAGTCGGATGCTCAACCGACTGAGACACCTAGGCACCCCGAAAACTTTCTTATATGACTAACCAACCTTACAATCCCACGTTTATGTAGCTTTAGTCCTAAAGGATACAATATGAGCTTTCTCACGTAGATATAAGATACCAGGTGGCTGATATAAACAAAGAGAGAAAGGAGGCTAAGGGAAAAAAAAACTGCTATACGATCCTTATTTCGGCAGTATTAAGTAAAACTCACTTTGACTCTTTCTCTATTTTTCCAGCAAAAATTTCTTCTGTCTCTTTTTTAAACAGTGCCTCTTTGATTACAATGCTAACTAACAAAAGTTCCAATCCCGGCTTTAGAAGTTCAAGTCTTCATAACCAACTAGAATCTCAGCAAGACATGAAGGATTGACAGAAGGGAAAAGCCATTGTTTTAGAAAATCCAGGGAATGTGAGCTAGTATGTTAAATGGAAAAGTTTCACAAAAACACCCTTCGAGCTCTCCTGTGCCACAGGACGACCCACAAGAGTTGTCGGAAGTTGTATCTGCACAGCCTGTCCTGTTCTGTCGATGCAAACCCTTCCCTTGAAATATGATTGGAACAAAGGTATCTTACAAGAGTCTCAATTCTTTGGAGATTACTGCCATTTCCTGCTGTAGTGACCTCCAAGAGCAGTCTAGAATTCCGATCTCTTGTCTTACTCGATCAATTTGTTCCAGAAGTAACAC